TCCAATGCTAGGTTTTCTCAAATATCTACCCAAAATTCTAATAATGTATGCTATATCCAGACGTGTGTAAACTTAAGCATACATTAAACTTCAAACAACTAATGCATGTGGAATTTATTTTCTTTAGATATTGTTTACCATTTTGTATGCCAAATCTCATTAGCACATTTTTATATAGTTTTTTTATGATAGCCTAAGAATACTCTTAGAACAATCTCAATATATTTTAATCTCCAACACAAAAGAGGCGTCAACGAGATTTTTCATTTCAAAATATTTTGATAGAAAAATATTGATTTCGTGCAATTTGTCTATTTCATTGGTGGCAAGCAGTATATCATCGACATATAATACCAAGAAAATACACCTACTCCTATTGAACTCATGGTATGCACAATTATCTATAGCATTCATCTCAAAATCGAATGAGATTATCACTTGATGAAATTTGTAATACCATTGACAATAAGCTTGCTTAACCCATAGATGAATTAATTTTATTTGTAAACACTATTCTTTGTGTCTCTCAACATAAAGTTTTCAGTTTGCATCATGCAAATTATTTCATTAATTTCACCATTAAGAAATATTGTCTTAATAGCTTTCTGATGTAACTAAAGATCAAAATATACCACAAGTTTCATAATTATCTTAAAAGAGTCTTTTATAGAGACCGAAGAGAAAGTTTCTTTATAATCAATGTCTTCTTTTGAGTAAAGTCATTGGCAACAAGACAAGTTTTATATTATTCTACACCACTTTTCAAATCTCTCTTGGTTTTAAATAACCATTTACAACCAATCTGTTTCACACTGTTAATAGAATAAGATCCCAAACATTATTGTCTTGCATAGACTTGATTTTTTCATTCATGACATCAATCTATTTTTGAGAGTTTACACTTTGCATAGCTTGATGGACATTTGACGGGATCATTTTTCATCAATCTAATATTATCATGTTCTTGGAGAAATACTATATAATCATTTGAAATTACACTTCTTTTCTCTCTACTAGATCTCCTTAGTGGCTCAAGTCCTTGTGGCATTTGTTTTTGAGACGGTTGAGTTTTAACCTCAGTGGGTTCAACAACTTTGTCTTGTTGATCTTGATTTGCAACTTGATCAATGACAGTAATTGATTTCATTTGATCCAAGTTTTTTTTAAAGACAATTTCTAATACTATTTACACACCCAAACTTAACAACCTCAAAGAATATTTCATTTCCCATCTTAAAAAATTGTCATAGTAGCAGATTCATAAAATTGATACCCTTTTGATCTTTTTGTGTAGCCAATGAAATAGAAACTCATTCTTGTAGAGTCTAATTTTTTTTTTGTCTGAAATGTCTTGCCTTTGCTGGTCAACCCCAAGTGAGAAAATACTTAAGACTAGATCTTTTATCAGTTCAAAATTTATATAGTGTTTTGGTTGTTGCCTTAGTTAGCACTCTTTTGAGAATATAAGTTGCAGTCTTGAGTGCTTCACGCGAGAGACTCGATTAATGTGGAATGACGTATCATAGTCACTATATCCTTAGGTGTCTGATTTTGTCTCTCAATAACATCATTCATGCTAGGTGACCATTGCATGATATATTGAGTGACTATACCACATTCATCCAGGTATTTGACAAATGGTTCGAGATTTTATCTACCTAAACCGTCATATTTGTCATAATATTCATCACCACAATCAGATCTAATACATTTAACATTTTTTGTTAAGTTGAAGCTAAACCTCAATCTTAAATGATTTGACCATGTCCAATGATTGTGATTTTTCATGTATGGATACAGGGAGCCATATTGAGAGAAATCGTCTATGAATGATAATATTGTTGACCATTCCATAAAATCATAAAATAATGTTCCACAAATATCCATACGTATCAATTTAAAGGCATCTAAAACTCTATTGACACCATCCTCTTTTATTGGCTTGTTTCCTTTTAATACATTGAGCATATAATTCAAAGTCTGTGAAGCCAATGAAATCAAGAAGTTCATCTGCCAGAAACTTTTTCATTCTTTTTCTTGAAATATGATCTAATTGCTTATGTCATAACATAGCGGAATTATTGTTAGCTAATTTTGCTTTATGCCGAGAGTAACATGCAAGAATTTACTATAAGAAGCAACTGTATCGAGCGGGTGTAGATTATCTTGTTAACCTAACCAGTACAAATATTATTTGAATTTAAAGAAAGACTGAATTGACTATTTTCGAATGAACAAGTGTATCCAAATTTGTTTAAAGCATAATAGAAACTAAGTTTCATCTTAATGACAATTCAACAAAGGTATCTTTCAAATCCAAATAACAATCAATACATAATAAAAATCTAAAATGTCATATAGCTTCAACTTCAACCGTTTTACTATTGCACACATAGATTAATCTTTCAAAATTATTCGACTTTCGATAGTTTAGGTAAGACACTATATATGAGTAGTGACATATAGAAACAATCCACCAAATGTGTTTTGATATTAAGGCTAAATTAGCTTTAGAACAAATCAAATTGAGAAGTGTTCATTTCTTTGCCCGTTAAGCATGATATTTGGTACAAACCTTCTTTATATGTATAAACTTACAACAATAGAAACAATCATATTTTTAATTTCCCCTTTATTTTGTTTCAGAACAAATAAAATTGAGAAGTGTACATTTCTTTGCTCTTTAAGCATGATTTTTGGTACAAGCCTTTTTTTTATTTGTCCTAAATTACAACAAAAAAAAATCATATCTTTTAATTTCTTTTTTATTTTGTTTCTTTTGTGTTGGACCTTGAGCATCATCTTTGTTCTTCTGTCTTTTCTTTTTATACATAGAGGTGTTAGCCAAATGAAAATTTTAAGTTTTTTCTTACTTCAGCTTTTTTACTCTTGCACACAATAAGAAATGAGCTCATTGAGAGTCTTCTTTTTGGCAGTTGTAACTGACATTGAATTGACTGAACTGTGCAGGAAGAGAAATCATAACTAGATGCACTAAAAGATTTTCAGAAATATCCAACTATAATGTCTTTTGTAGTGAAGCAGTATGAGACATCTTCATGATATATTCCCTCATGCTTTCTTTACTTCGATACCTCATTGAAATCAGCTCACTAACAACGTGCTTGTTTCAGTTGTGTCATTCTTGGCAAAGTAATTTTTAAAAGCTTCAAAAAAATTTGGCTGCATCGACCTCATGATGCACAACCCCTCTAATAACTACTAGAATGCCTCACTTGATGATTAAGTGACTCCTGTGATTTGAACAACCTCATTTCTTAAGTTCCATTTTTATTCTCAGTAGAATTTTGATCGGCAGTAGGATATTCAATCTTTAGTTCAAGTTCTAGATCAAGGCAACCGGAAATAATTAATATGTTATCTTTCCAATCCTTAAATTTAGTGTCATTCAACATAGGAATGGATTTAACTTTTTTAGATATTGAGGTATTAGATATAGTAATTATACATAGAATAAAATTACATATTCACATAAGAATTGATAATAAATATAAACAAGATTTAAATAATATTTAATCCCTTCATAAGAATCGTGGACACCATTAATATTTAGTGTTTTACAAAAATGTTAATTTGTAAATGATATTCTTGATGTAGTGATCAAATATTAACAATAAATCGTGTTGAATAATAAACTAGCCATTGGATCCACTTATTATTTAAATGTTAAAAAATTGAATAATTGTTACATATTTATCACAACATGTGTGAACTTAAATTTGATCAATTATTAATATTCATTTGGGTTAATTAATATTTGCATAAATTAAATTTACATAACTCTCCAAATATCTTAATTTAATTAATATTCACAAGAGGTTATTTTGATAGCTTATTGTTTCAATTAATCACTATAAAAATAGTAAAAATCTAAATAACCATTATTTTCAGGAAGAGAAAACAAGCTGCAGTGGCAGCTCTACAATTCTGTTAGAATTGTTTCAAGACAATTTCGTAAATCTAAAATTTAAATTTTGGGGGTAAAATTTCACATTCAAAGGCATATGCAAATTTTAATCCCAAAAAATTGTATCTTTAATCTTTTTTTTGGACTCATAACATAGCAATAATAACTTATTGCATTATTATGAAAAGTAAAGTTTTCTTGAATTTACACAACCAATAACACAGAATATTCTTCAAATCTTCATTCAAGAAATAACAAGGACGAATATTAAGGTGCTTCACCATAAAATGATATGTAAATCCAAGAAAATTAAACTTAAAATAAAGAAAAAAAAATATTTGTTCTTCTTGGCTTAACATGGAGTCGGCTTTGATATTACTTATCGTCAACTTGGTGGAAGCACAACCAAAGATTGATTCATTGAACACTGAATCTTTCATATCAAATCATCAAGAGAAACAAATCTAAAATGTGGAAGTATACCTTGATTCATAATTATTTGTAGTTATGGGTCGTCTTTCAAATTGATGTTTTTCGTAATTCTATTATGTCGATGGGATTTCAGATGAGAAGATTTTTTTCTTTTTGAAAAGTGGCATGACACACATGAAAATGGGGACTGTAACGTTTTAGGATAACTACTAATGGATAGTTATATCCTATACATTTATACTTCCAATTTTACCCATCATAAAAGTTGAAAATGCAAATACATCTCTTCACATCTTTTTTACTATATTTTTAATTTTAATGCTCATAAGCCTAGTCTTTATTAGTTCACACTAATTAGGCTTAACTTTAAGACAGTATAAATAACATATTTATTTATATATGTTGACTCACATAAAATAATTGTTTATTTATTTTCCAACAGATAATGTTGGTGTGAGCTGGTAACTTACACGGAAAAAGATTAGTTGTTTCACTCTTTCATTGAAATGAACCTCTTACATTCATTTACAGAAAGCACCTTCATCATTATTTACAGAGCAACTTCAACACGTAGTCCTCTTCAAAATATTGCAATGGAGATATAGCTTAAATCCACACAATTCATAATTTACTTTTGCAGAGGACTCAGAACATTATTTCTGGAAGAGAGCTCCATCGTACAGAACGATGGCGGCTGGTTACGTCAGCTCGCAGCAAACGATTCTATTCTTGAGGTCCTCAATTTTTATATGACATATCTCAAGTGTACACGCGAAGACCTGGAGTTAATTGCCAGAAACTGCAAGTCCCTTGTTTCCCTAAAGATTAGCGAATGTGATGTCTCCCACCTCGTGGGGTTCTTCCGAATGGCTACTTCTCTGGAAGAGTTTGGTGGGGGTTCATTTGATGATCAAGCTGGAGAGGATAGTCTGTACAATAACATTCAATTTCCCTCAAAGCTTTGTCGATTGGGTCTCAACTACATTGAGACGAACCAGATGCACATAATATTTCCGGTCGCTTCCGCACTGAGGAAGTTGGACTTGCAATATAGTTTGTTAAGTACCGAAGATCATTGTCAGCTTATTCAGTGCTGCCCAAACATAGAAGTTCTTGAGGTAAGCATCTTTGATACGGACTTTTACACAATTTGTTAATCACACCCAATTCTTTATGTATTTACATATCTAACACTTGAACTTTAATTATTACATTTATACTATCCAAGTATTTCTTATAACATCAAATATACTATTATTTTAACTTTTAAAAAGTGGAATACATCTTTTAAAATTTGAAGTAAGGTTTTAGATATGTAAATACAAAGAATTGAGTCGTATGCATGTAAATATTCTTACAATCATTTTGCACTCTTATTTTCGCCTCTATTCTAATAAACTAACAGGTCAGGGAGGTTATTGGAGACAGAGGGCTAGAAGTTGTTGCTCAGACATGTCCGAGACTGCAAAGGCTAAGAATAGAAAGAGGTGAGGATGAGCCAGGCCTAGAGGATGAACAGGGCAAGGTTTCTCATAGAGGCCTATCTGCTATAGCCCAAGGATGTCCAGACCTGGAATACCTGGCTGTGTACGTCTCCGACATTATGAATTCTGCCCTAGAATCCATGGGCACATACTGCAAAAACCTGTGTGATTTTCGGCTGGTTTTACTCGAGCGGGAGGAGCGAATAACGGAGTTACCCCTCGACAATGGAGTCCGAGCTTTATTAAGGGGTTGCACCAAGCTCAGGAGGTTTGCCCTTTATCTTCGTCCTGGAGGTCTGACGGATACCGGCCTCGGATACCTCGGAGAATACAGTGGAAACATCCGATGGATGCTTTTGGGCCATGTTGGGGAATCCGACGAAGGGCTTTTAAGGTTTGCTCGAGGTTGCGGCAAGCTGCAGAAGCTAGAATTACGCGGCTGCTGCTTCAGCGAGCGCGCTTTGGCCTTGGCCGTGCTGCAATTGCCCTATTTGAGATACATATGGGTTCAGGGCTACAACGCATCTCCGGATGGGCGCGACCTATTGTTCATGGACAGGCCGTACTGGAACATTGAATTCATCCCTCCAAGACGGGAGACGAATGATAACAATGTTCCTCATCCTGCTCAGATACTCGCGTACTATTCGCTAGCTGGGAGGCGGATCGACTGCCCGCCTTCGGTGATTCCGATGCATCGACAATGAGTGTACATTGTAAGGCTCTTGCCCAATGTTTTTCATGTTTTTGTTTTTTTTTTTTAAATTGTTTTTCTAATGTTTTTGTTGTTTTGTATGTCTTAGCTTCTTCATTTGTCTTTGGGTAGAGAATCGATGTGCATATTTTGGCTAGTTTGTCAAGAGTCTAATTATGGATGTACCTGTAATAAAAACTTGTTCCATGTTGTTTATTGTAGTAAGAATTCGGATGACAACACTAATGCTCTAGATAGATAGCATCCTTGAGTTTTGATGGTGATATATCTTTCATTTGGTGCTATTACTTATTTATTTTTGGGGCATTTGCATACATGTTGCTCGGTTGTTATGAATTTGCATATCTAATGCCTAAAACATTTTTATTTGCATGCATGTCACTCATATCAGAAATATCACCATCACTGTCTTTTTAATAATGAAATATTTCTTTTCATTAGCAGTTTATTTCGCCAAGGTATGATAAATGTAAATATCAAATTTTGGGTGTTAGATATGTAAATAAATAAGTTGTGTGTGGTATGTATGTATCTACCTTTATGTATTAGGCTAAGTAGGCTGTATTTTTTTTGCCGCTGGCAATCATAGCAATGGAAGCTTAAAAATAAGCCAGTGGCTATGAATCGGAATTTATTATATGCCCCTAAAATTTGTAGTATATTTACTATAGCATATAAATATATTATAGTATATAAATTTTCTTTTGATTATTTATAAATAGAATCCCCTTAATTATTTGTAGCTTCAGGGCATGTGCATAGAAGCCTATATTTTTTCTTATAATTATAATAAGGCTCAAAACTAAATGTTTTAAATTATTCCGAATAAATAAATAAAATATGCCGCACAAATTCCAAGATGTAATGAATGACTACATAATATAATGATTCATCTAGAAACCCTAAAGAGAGATTATTATTATTTGGTAATGTTAAATATTAATATATGTATGTATGTATGTATATATGATCAAAATGTGTTGAACCACATCCAATTATTCTGGACGGAACATGTGTCGAGGAATCAATCCTGACGAGTGCAAAGAATTGTAGTTGCTTCGTGATTAATGATCCAATCAATCGAACCGAGCTTGTTGACCGAATAGCGGCTAGCCAGCCTGGGGGAAAGCAAAAAGTTGGTCAGATGAGAAAATATTCGATCACAATAATGATAATCTCGATGGTTGCCGCTTGTTGGTGATAAAGAATTTCAAGGGTATTATCAATATTTCAACAATGGAATTTCTATTTACTATAAATATAAGAACAATAGTATTATACCACTTTTTTTTATCTCTATTTTTTTATTTACATTCTATTTCTTGGGACATCAATTTTTACTAACATGCCACCCTAGTTTGCATGAAGAGCTGTTTTTCACTATTTAAACTTTAAAAGGGTGGTACTTTTAATGTGATATCAAAGATTTGGGTGGTCTAAATGTAAAAATTAAAGTTTAGGTGCTAGTCATGTAAATCCATAGGATCTTGGTGGTATTTATGTAAATGCCCCCTCTTTCAAAATTCAAATTTGTTTGCCAGCTTAATTTGAGTTAATTAGAGATTTTTTTTTTTTTCAATCCATAGATTGCTAAAAGCTGCATCAAACCATCCAGTTATGAAGGGTTTTGTAAATCAATTGTACTGACATCACTGGCCTAATTATATATATATATATATATATATATATATAGATGTGTGTGTGTGTGTGTGTGTGTTAGCTTTAGCACTTTATCTAATCTTGAGGTGTTTATGCATTTTAGCTTTTACTAAAGTTAACCTAACTCATAAATTCAAATATAAAAATGTAATCACATACACAAGTGTTATTTGCGTCATCAAAATCCGCGTAAAAGCTGCATCTTAGGCTCTCTTTGATACCGCACCGTTGTTTTGGCCGTTTGGGTAAACTGCATTTTAGCATGTTTTTTTCAAAAAGCCGTTGTTGAAACTAACATTTTCCCACCACTATTGGTTAGGTGCGATAGGAGCTTTCTAGCTGTGGTATGAATTTTTCAAAAAAAAAAAAAATTTAATGCGGTTTATTGTAATATCAGATTATTCTTCAACAGCTTCTTAATCAGTGCAGCTGCCCCAAACAAAGCCTTAGTATTTGTAATTAGAGAGGGAGAGAGCTTTTATCCTCTAAGGAGAATAAATATTATCCTAATTTTATTTTAGATGCTTTTACTTCATACCACCCAATTCCAAGATATTTACATATATAGTAAAAAACTTTATTTTTTTTATATTTATACCTCCCAAATATTTCACATCACATAAAAAAAAATATCACCATTTTAACTTCTAAACACTTGAACACACCTTTTTCATACGTAGGTAAGTTGACATATATACGTAAAAACTAAAGTTTAGGTGTTATATACATAATACATAGAAATTGATCGGCTTCTATGTAACTACTTCATATAATCTCCAAACATGAAATGTCACCTCTAATTGTGATCTACAACATAAGATTATAAATAGAATTTCATCAAGTTTTGTGATGAACATATGAATAATATTAAAATGATCTAAATTAATTTATTTATTTAATTAATTATAATCATTCCATATAAAATAGACACCATCAACAATCCATATATTTGATTCCAAATTATTTAAAAAATTTTATAACCATTCATGCCACTTATTTTCAAGAATTTTATATAATAATAAATAAATAAATAAATAAATAAACAAACTCAACATCATTTAAGAAGCTGGCAACATAACATAAGATATTGAAGTTAGGTATAAGACCCCTTTCTATGTTGTTAAAAATAATTTCAGGCATATTAAATTCTTATAGCTGCTCTTCAGTGACTTGTGTATTTCCATTAACCCATAAATGCACACAAACCATTAAACATATAAACAATGTATGTTGTTTGTATAACAGTATGGTTCGATCTACACTGCGTTGGATTCATGATGTATTATTTTTATTTTAAAAATATAGGATACCATAATTTTTTTAAAATAATATATATTTATGCCTAAATTAATTAAATTTGAAATAAATAAAATTAATTTTGATAATATAAAGAGGAAAAAAATAATGATATCTAAGAATTAAAAAAATGACTATTATATTATTCATGAATCATAATAATAAGAAATAAATAAGTAAATTATAAAAAAATGTTTAATATAATTAAAAATAAAAATAATCAAAATTTAATAAAAATTAATAATGTATGATAATCTATCATACAAAAAAAAAAAAAAACAAATCGTTGTTCGAGCAATATAAATTATCAAAATCTAATGTTTTGATTAACATTTTGTTATTATTTATAAACTTCAAATGTAAATTTAAGGCCCGAAGTGTCCGAAAATATTTTAATACAAATTTGATTGTAAACAATCCAATTTCAACCCGAGCTAGTGTTGGTTTAAAATCAGCTCAAAAAAAGTTTGATCCAAAATTTTGACTCGTAGCTCAACTTGTTTATTTCAATCTAATCTCAAATAGAGCCAAAATTCAAATAAGTATTCGAGCAATTAACAACCTTCGAGCTAAATTCACACTCCTAACATGACTAAAACTGTTAATTATCTGATTTCTAGCAGAGCCCGGGTCGCTCAAAACCGGTTTTAAAAAAATTTGATCCATAATTTTAGCTCTTTGCTCGGCTCATTTATCTCACTCGGATCTCGAACTAAGTCAAAATTCAAAACAATTTTAGAGCAATTAACGATCTTCAAGCTAAATTCATTGAACTCACAACCATAACATCACTATGGCTGTTAACGATCCGATTTCGAGCCGATCTGAAATCGATTCGAAATCGGCTAGAAAAAAAAAAAAGGATCTAAAATTTTGCCTGGTGGCTTAGCTTGTTTATTTACTTCCGAACTAAAACTCCAATCAATTTTAGAGTAATTAACAATATCGAAGCTAAATTCACAGCCCCAGACGAACTAGACTTGTTAGATGCATGTGGGATGTATCTGCAGACACTGCACTGTTATTTAAAGTAAAGTGTTGATCCATCCATACAAATATCTGAGCAGAAAAGAAAGCTCCCAACAACAACTAGGCCAAATTCTAATCTCAAAGCAGCGGCTCCCATCCTTTCCTTCGCCCAAAAGCTCTCAATTAAATGACTGCAAAAACAAAAGCAAAAATCCCAACCACTGATGCAATCACATAGCACTAACCTTGCAACTTGCAGAAAAAACTTCTGCAACTTTCAAAATTATAAAAAAAAAGAAAAAGAAAAAAACTTTTATGAGTTTTGTCATTCTTTTCCTCTGAAAAGCTTACAGTGGCGACCACTTTGCTCATGCTGCCTTGATTCCTCCTTTGTTTAATAAGCTGTTGCGGCATGCCTGGGAACCTTCAAGAAAATCACAAAGATATACATAAATACCACTAAACTCTTACCTATTTACATATCTAACACCTACACTTGAAATTTTACATACACGGCACCTCACCAATGCATGAAAAGATGTATTTCACAGCTAAAAATAATGATGATGTGAAAGGTTTGGGTGATATAAATGTAAAAAAGTAAAAGTGGAGTTAGATATGTAAATACATAGGAATTAGGTGGGGTATGTATGTAAATGTCCCCAAAAAAAAAAAAAATATGCAAAGTGAAATGTCCAGACACCACACACTTGCTGCTGATAGTTGCAGCCACTATGGCAATAATGGGTACAGACAAAAAGGGCCAATGGGTAAAAGAAGGGGAGGACATATTCAATTCTAAATGAAAGAAACAACCACTCATTGAAACAGCAACAACAATAAAAACAAAAGAGCCACAGTGCCAATAATTCTTTGGCTTCATTCCTGTTGTCATTTGTGGGACAGCCAGCTAATCAGGAATAAACTATCAGCTCCTGCTCTGTGATGATTGTGATTACTAAAATAAATTAATCCCATAAAGCATCAACAATTAAATCAAACAACAAATTAAGAAATTTATGTATTTACATATCTGATACGTAAAGTCTGATATTTACATTCATAATACTTTGATGTCATAAAATTATGCATGAAAAGACGTATTCAACTTCTGAAAAGTTAATATTAATGTCATTTTTGAAGTAATATTATACATTTGAGTGTTATGCAAATACAAAAGAATTGTTGGGTACGTATGTAAATGCCGCCAATAAAAAAAAATGAAAATATCTAAAACTGTAAAAAGAACAATTTAAAGAGTTAAAGTAAGACAATTTGAGAGGATATTGGAAGCAGAGTAAGATGGCACTTTGGAGTTTTATAAACCTTCTGCAGCCAATAAGTGTCTCTCACCCAGAATCCTTTTGAGATAAAATAATTAAAAATTTTAAAAAGTCACAGCAGCAATAACAGTAAATCAAATATGCTAACGGCTATTTTTTGTATAATGAAATAGCATGATAGCTCTAAGGAATAGGAGGAGATGGAATGAACTATACGGCAGTCAACCATGATTAGGTGGTGGGTATGAACATGGTGGAATATGAAATAAATGAAACTCTTTTTAAGGCAAGTTGGGTTATGTGTAGAAGGTAGGTTCTGTAAAATTGCAATTCATGGAAGGAGTTAATTCGGCTAAACAAGATGCCTTACCTACCTCGTGAAAAAGGACAAAAGAGAGGGCTGAGAAAAGTACAAGGCAAGTGGGATGAGATGCCAGCTAATGGAATTCAGAGCTGGGCAGGACAATTGATTGCATGTAATTACTCAGTCAAAGATGTCATGCCGGACTCTAATATGCATAAGCATCCCAATGTGGAAAGAAAATCTTGCCGGAAGTTAGAATAAATGCTTGTTTCTTTAACCTTTTTAAATATCGGGGGCATCAGTTTAAGTAGTTAAAGTTTGATTCCAATGATGGAGCTGAGCGAATATATACATATATAAATATAAATATTTGTTCTTCGGGGGTGTTACTTTGGGCTTGATGGGTCCGACCAAAATTTGAACGGATGTAAAATGTGGCTTGATTTGAATCTGATTATACACGTCCACATGTTCAACTGAGTCGGAAGACTATGAGAGGTGAATGTTACCAAAAACGTTGCTATGGCAATTTGACCACTACCGGTTACACTCCGTAGCCAACGAGTGATGTGAAGTCAAGCAAACAAAACGAGTTGAGTTGAGCAGGTGTTTGCTTGAGCTCGAACTCATTTATTAAAAGTGTATTCGAGCCAAATATGAGCTATTAGAAATGTGATCGAGCTCGAGATCATTTACCAATACACTGTTCAAGCTTGGTAGCAGCTGGTTTAACAAAATAAATGAATCACAATTGAGCCTTATGCTTTTTTTTTTAGCTTTATATGAGGAGCTTATTTGAAAAAATAAACGAGTCGTATCAAACAAAAGCTTGTTGAGCCAAATAAATACACATTGAAATAATACCATTCATAAATGAGCCTTACTCGAGTAATAATTGAGCCTTACTTGAGCATTAACCAACCTTTTTAACTAACTTGTTCACGAGCCTTAAACAATATTGTTCATGAACATAAATGAATCAAACAAGTCATTCAAGCTTGTTCATTAAGCAACTGAGTATTTACAATATTGTGCATTGAATGTGTGTTTGCTCATTTATGGACCCATCTAATACTTCATGAATCAAATTGGTTCCTTCCCACTTAAGTGGAAAGTTGCTTTACCATTTGCTTCAATGCATATTTCAAACATTTAAAATCCAAATAACGGTGATGCTGCTTTGAAAATTTTCTTGGTCGATAAAAAATTCAGGACCTAAAGAAACAATGAAGAGTAGAGATCATTAAGGCTAGAGAAGTCTTTTCTTTTCAATCCTTTCTTTATTATTATTTCTGAATTGTCTTTTTGACAGGGCTGCAATTTAAAATATCCAAAACTGTGCTTTTTGCAGTACTTTTCCCACAGCTATTGCCCACCACGAAATAAGAATAGTAGTAAAAAATCACTGCGGATACATTTGAATATATTAAAAATGCAGTTACAGGAAAGAAATAAGCAGTAAACATTACAATAAGTAATTATTTGAAGCTAAGCTAAGCAGCTTAACAAACCATACATTCTCCAGTTCATCAAAAGTTTACAGTTTCAATCGAAATTAATAGAGATAATCACCACACATTCTCCACCTTAACCTACTGGTTAAGAGTTTAAGCTTCCAATCAATATATTTCACTCAAAAATCCAAAAACAAAAAAAAAAAAGAAATCAATACATACCTTTTATTCACACAGGAGCAGAGAAATGTGACAATAAGTTCTGTAAACCGTGCTGCTACCACCAGAACACCATCCATAGAAAAATGGTACAAGTAAAGATCTTCTGATACAAGACACAAGTCAGGACCTTTAAATTATGATAATAAATATTAACATAATTGGCTAAAGGTACCATAAAGTACAGCACCACATTACAATACTGGTAATGCATTATTGTGTTCTACAATACCAAATATGAACTACAAATAACTCCCCCAAAGCTGACTATTTAAACCACAAAATAAGCATTTCAAAAGATGGCTTTTGTTTTGCCCCTCAGCTCACCAGCCAAGCTCCACATCAACTCCTCCGACTTTGATCTTCAATTTTCAGCTGTTCATCATAAAAAGTTCATCTTTTGTTCCACATCAATGCTCTACATTCATTCTCAATAGCATTGCATCTAAAATAAGACACCATTGTTGCCAACAATAGAACCACTGAGATTGCTTGGTTGCAAATTTCTAGCCTGCTGGATCATTCCATATTGTTGTAAGCCGTAGGGCGACGGAATATACGGGTTACTGTCTACCGATTTGCTGAAGAAGTTAGCCACCTCATTGAGCTGTTTTGAATCAACAGCAACAGAGAAATGTTCTGAGGAAGGAGCTATGGCTGAACAGGACTGCACAGTAACTACTGATGGCTGGGATGGAGAGGAAGGGCTGCTATCTTCCATATTGATGGTTGTAATATCATGGATGCTAGCTCTCCTCTTATCTTTGCCACCAGAATTAAGCCTGAGAAAATACTTCTGCGCATGGCTCGCCACTTGTGTTGGAGTTCTAGTAACAACAAAATTGCGAGAAATGTTTCTCCAATCCCCTTTGCCATATTTTTTTAGACCCAGTAGAAATCAAAAAAAAAAAAAAAAAAAAAAAAAAAAAAATTGTAATTATTAAAAATGAATATATACAAATTGCCATCCTAAGAATGCAACATAACCTATTCATGGTGGTTAAGTAAAAATCCAATTTTTATTGTAGAAAAAAAAAACAAGTTAAGATTAGAGGGATTTAATGGAGTAATACTTATGCTCTTCTTCGGTCCATGGGATGCCCTTCTTCCTCTCATGATCAGCGAGTCTGCCGCCTGATCTCTTCCCACCAAAACAGTAATCTTGCTTCAAGCCATCAAATCCATGATCACTCTCCCAATCCAAAGTTAGAGAAGAAGAGCTGTAACCGGGGAAAGGGATGAGCCCAGCTTCTATACAGCTAACATCTTCCTCCAAATCCTGGTAATGAGACACGACATCATCCACCGTCTTCCCAGGAATCATCCTCGCCACCATTAACCACCTCTCAGGTGTATCTGTGTCAAAGCGAGCAAGGGCCTTCTCAAACAGCTTGTTCTCTTGCTGAGTCCAATTGCCACACTTCTTCTCACCAACAAACCAATTGTAATTGGAGAAATAAGCAGGAGCAGGAGTTAGAACTTCCATCCCTGAGTTCGTCATCATCAAAGGAATTCACCAGTTTATAGCACCAAATACCAGAGCACAAGATATATATACTCGGTTTTGATGGAGGTGTTATGGAGAAGTAGATCCAAAAGGAGAAATGCTGATGAATTATAAACCTCCCATAAGGAATCCGAACAATTCCCTACTGCCAATACAGCAAAAAGATTCTCAAGAAAGAAAGAAATACTAGCTAACAGAAGCAAATAGATCAGTTCAGTAACTGGAGAGAATTTATGTTCAATAGCCTTTTCTGAACAATCACTTCCCTACTCAGAACCACCAGAAAAGAAGCGCTATCGACTTCAGCCTCAAAAACAAAGTGCCTATATGAAGCAAGAAATCGCTCCCAAGAGCAACCTCCAGCGAATAGTTCGTGTCTTTAAAATGAAAACCTGAAGAAAATCTCCGACTGCAAGAAAAAGAAGAAGAACCAGCAAAAAGATGAGAGTTGCAGAAGCAGAGAGTCGCTGCGAGAAGAGGAAGAGATTCTGCAGAAAGAAGAGATGCGAAAGCTGAAGAAGAAAAAAATCAAACCTCGGTAGAGAGGATTTGTAGGCCGCGTAAGAGAAGTATGAACCGAGAGAGGAGAAGAAGAAACGAACTCGTCTCTCCAGCTCTCCCTCTCCCTCTCCTCCCTTCCCGTCCTCTGTTTTTGGGCACTGTTCGCGATAAAAATTCATTCTTTTTCGTATAAAAAAGGGGAAAGCATTATATTATTCCACTTTAACCTAAAGATTTATGATATTTTACAATTCAGAGAGAATTTTTTAATCCTCGAATCCAGCGGCAGCAGAGAAAAAAAAATGTGAAATTTACGCGCATATCACAAAATTCTTACGTATTTATATAACTGATATAGAAAATTTAACATCTATATTTATAACATTACTATTAAAAATGTATGTATGAATGGATGTATTTATGTATAAATGCTTTGGAGTTAGATATGTAAATATCTAAGAACTGTGTGGTATATGTTTATAAGGTATTTACATACCACTTAAAACAAAATTATGGGGACATAAATCAATTTTTATAAGAAAATGAACAATATTTATTAAATATTTATAATTTTAAATTCTAAAATTTAAGAAGAGATAAAGTAAATGTCTTTTAAAAAAAAGGAAAATTAACATTCATATCATCTAATTCTTATGTATTTACAGATCTAACTCCTGAACTTAAATTTATCTATATATATGTCCCATTTTTATGAATGAAAAAGTGTATTAGTGATATGAATGAATTGGGCGGTATAAATATAAAAATCAATGCTTAGGCATTAGATATGATAATACATTATGAATGGGGTGGAATGTATATAAATGACACCTTTAAAAAAATATGTTTATTCAAATAAAAATATATGATATATAAAAATATTACAATTTTAGAGGAGGCAAGAATCTCATCATGGCCCACATTCAATTTCCTTTCCTCTTACTCATACTGTAAGAGTAAAGTGTCAAAAATAATCCCCTACTATTTACCACTGAAATAGTTCCATTGAGAACTACTAGAGGTCAATTTTAAAATAGTTGATGACTATTTTGAAACTTCTATAAACAATAAAAGGCCCCGCGTAAACAATCGAGAACTACTTTCACACTTTACTCCATATTGTAAGACATCTTTTTAGCTTTTAATCAATATAACATGATCTACGAAGAATTAAAGCACATGACTAGCATAGATTTATTTTAGTGGCATGGCTTTAGCACATTTCAAAAAATAACAAGCCATGGATGTGCCCAACAATATTAATCCAGTAGCTTCTATAAAGGCTAGTGCTTGTTCCCAATGATATTGTAGTGGCATGGCAGGGCCTGTTTTTGTAGAAAAAGAAACGAATGGGAAAGTGATGATGAAAGGATTCTTCTATCTGTATATGTATAGAATTGAGGATGACTGATCTCCAGCAGAGGTTATAAAAAGGGCTATAAGGAGTGCAGTACTGTCTTAATTGATGTTGTCGTTCATGTCGTGGGGATATGAAGCTGGACTATGAAATTTTATTTGAATTTGTGCATCATTTACGTTCCATTATTCCATATGCATTCATTAGTATACAAGTAGAAAGATAATATTGCACGAAAAATCTTTAGGGGATAATGCAAAAATACTACGCAATAAGAATAACATCATGTTATTTGTAAAAAATAGGGGCGAAGAAAAACAGTAATCGACACAAATCTAGAAGAACACAGAGATTTAACGAGGTTCGGCAAAGATGCCTACGTCCTCGGGAGCAGAGCGGCGAGTTCCTTTCAATAATCAGAAAAGTGTTTACAGAAATCAGAAATACCTCATGGGGTTACTAACATGCCTATTTATAACCCCAGGAGTAAAACTAGGCACAATACATAATTACAACATTACCTCTGTACCATACCGCGGGGTTTTGCCCCAGCACCCCAACCCACGTAACTTCCCAATTTGAACAGATTCTTCCGCTCTGCTCCGCTTCGATTCAGCGTCTGTCCCGATATGTTATATGAGTCATACCATAACATTATTTCATCACAATCTTGATCATCAAAGGCTAATAGTAAGTAGATATTTCCGGTTAAAGTTTTTGCTTAGGCCAAGATTTGTGGCAAGTATACTTTTGAAATTGGAGAATTATGTCCATATGTTTATTTATTCACAAAATATGATCAAAAGTTCGCTTAGAAGCAAAAATAATTATTGAAACATTTATATATTGATATATTAGAGTGATCTGCGTGTCATCAACAAATTTTTGTTACAGACATGAATCTTGATGCATTTTGAGTAAGAAATTTTTTGAATTCACATCAATAAATTTATAATCAAGTTGGGTATCTTGACAATACGAAGCAGTGATGCCGAAATGGATTCATTTTGAGTCCAAATAAAAGCCCATCGAATACTAGAAGTATTGTTAAAGATTTTAGTGTGTTAATTGGAAGACTAAATAATCTCAAATTTTAGAATGCTTATAGTCAAATCAAGGGTCTCGATGAGAGGAATCCAATGAGCCTAAGATCTTTCAATTCTGTTATCATTAAAGACTAAAATATTGAAAAAACAGTCATGTGGAATGTCAGATTGAGTGTTTTGGGAGAATTGTCAAATTCAACAAAATCTTCCTCTCAAAATTATAAATAAACTATCATTCTTCATTTGAAATGGGAAAAAGATGAGAAGATACTGAGCTAACTACTAAAACTCAACTGTTGAAGTCACTACAGCTATCATTGGTCACCTGAGTTCACCTTCAATCACCAATGTTCATGCCTTTCTCACTAAAGCTTTCTCCATTAATGTCATTATTGTACCTTCACTTGAGTTTCCTCTTTCAGTAGAGATCACGCAGGTAAAATTTGAATATTTTCTTATTCATCGACCATTTAAGCATTCATAGGTATTATTTCTTTATTTTTTTATTGTGTACCATAGATTATATTATTCTGACATTGATCAAATATAAAGCTAGAAAAGAGTGTGTTTTGATACTCGTTAAAACATACATGTTTGAAGTCTTGTTCAAATTATGATCAAATATAAATTGAGAATATCATATATTATGTTGTATAATTATTGCTTGAATCATGTTTAAATTTTATTTGATTGTAATTCAAACAAAGTACGAATATAATTTATGCACATGTTTTTCTTACTTTACAGTCTAACTAAACGTCTAAGTATGCCTTCAAACCAAATTGATCATGGAATTGTTATCTTTTTTCAATCATGATGTTTTTCATGTAAATTAAGCATCAATTTACTTATGTTATATCATAATATTTGTCATTTAACAAGTTATGAATTCTAATGGACTCCCTATTATAATTGCACATGATGTGCTCTACCTATAGCAATAAAAAAAGTTTGTAGTCTCATCATATTGAACTAGGTTGGAGTCTTGTTTGAACCTTATACATACTCTATTCAAAATTATCTCTTAATGAGCATTCAAATATGATTCAAGCGGAATTAAAATATATTTACAAATTTTAAAAATATGATCCACATCTTGTTCATTTATCTTAAGAATATAAATATTAATTCTGACTAATTTAATTAAGTATTTTGTAGAGAAAATGATAATATTTTATCCAAAAGAAAAAAAAAATTATTATGATGAAAAAATTATTAAGTGAATATTGGTAATATAATAAATACATTTTTAAAATATATTATGATGAAAAAATTATAATTAAATATTTAAAAAAATATTAGTCAATTAAAAAAAAAACAGTTTTGAATATCTATGTCAAATATTCAAAATTTATATTTTAATAATACTTCTAGAACTGCTACATAGACAAACAAAATCGCATTAAATGGACAGCCAATAAGCAAATATATTAAAAAATGCAACATTGGATTATGGGTCTCATTATGCAACATCACAAAAAAAATCCGCCTCACCATCAGATTTAGTAATATATTAACTAGTTTAAATATTTATATAGCACTCAATTCCAAGTTGTCAGCATCTGTCATCCTACACGAATCTCGACATATGACATGAATATCGAGAGTTTTTCGAGCAAGAGACCTTTAAATTTTGATTAAAGGCATCCAAAACTCTGATTTTAGAGAACTTATAATCAAATTGATCAGCTTGACAGATGAACCCAATTGTACCAAAATCGGTCCAATCTGAGTCAAATGAAGTTCAAATCAAGCTGATAAATCTCTTTTGGAAGCTTTCCAAACATAAATGAGAGATTAAACAAATTTTGAATATGACATGTTTATAGTCAAATCAAGCGTTCTGACAAAACGAATCGAACAAGCCGAATATCTCTCTATGCTGATATCATTACGACATTAAAATGTTCATCGATCACCTTTTGATCAAGGGGTCTCTGTAGGACATATGATCAAGAGTAGTATGAATTCACTCCTTATTTGCTAACTGCACTCTATAAATAGAACTATAAGCCCCTCATGAATGGGAACCTAGAACAAGGCAAGAGATCAGAGCTTGCAGATGAGGGAGATATAGTACAACATCATACACTGCAAATCCGGCCAACTCCAGCCACCATTGCTTTCTGTGGCCGCTACTTTCGGACGTCGTCACCTCCAACCAACCTCGTCCGCAGCCGCCTTTGACCAACTCTGGTCGTCACCACCTACATATCTAACACCTACAAAATACTTTCGGACGTCGTCACCACCGCCTTCAACCAACTCTTGTTGTTGCCACCTCTAGTCGCCGTCATTTCTACCTCCAGCCAACTCTAGTCGTCGCCAACTCGAATAGCCAACGCTTCAGCCACTCAGACTACCACCCGTTGACCACCATTGACCACTTTCAGCCACCGCCCGTTCTCTACCGTGAGACAACAAGTTTTTCTTCGCACAAACATTATAATCTATGAAACTGTGTAACCCTTTTCTGCCTAGGAGATAACAAATTGTGCATGTAATCACTAAACTCACACTAAAATATTTCAATTGAGCAATGCCTCATGATTCTTTCTCATTCCAAATTTTCCACATAAAAACTTATGGATTTCCTACTTATTATCTTTTTTCATTTAAGTGTGTGTGTGTTGAACTCTCGCACAATACTAATGTAATTATTCGTTACTCTATCGCCACAAATTTCCTCGGACACATCAATAGAAATCTAACATTTAAACTTTATTTTTTTTACATATATGCCATCTTATTATCTACGTACCTAT